ATCGTTAAAGTTGTGCAATCCTCAAAAACATGTTACTAAAATCTACTAGAAAAAGGCATTTAGAAGGAGGGGATTGTCTGTCTTGGAGTAAAGGGGAGTGGCTGGTAAATGCTGATTTTTTAAAAAAACAAACAAACTAAATGCAGATACGTGCATGAAATTATTTTGGCCTAGATCAGGGGTAGGCAACCTCGGCTCTTTTATGACTCATGGACTTCAACTCCCAGAATTCCTGAGTCAGCATAGCTGACTCAGGAATTCTGGGAATTGAAGTCCATGAGTCATAAAAGAGCCGAGGTTGCCTACCCCTGGCCTAGATCAGCATTGGTCAACCTGGTCCTTTTCCCCCCCGCTAGAATTCCTCCATTTGTTTGCAGAGACCTTGCAGTGTCCATTTTCTGAGAGTTGCAATCTACTACCTGTAGAAGGCACCAGACTTAGTTGTGGGGCTGATCCTTACCCTAACATGGTAAATTAAATAGAGTAGAAATCATTGAGAATGTAGTATGAAGTTTGGCCTAACGGTTAAGGCAGCAATCTAGAAAGTGGGAGACCGTGAATTCTAGTTCCATCTCTTTCTCTCTCTCTCTCTCTTTCTTTCTTTTTCTCTCTTTCTAATTCTTTCTCTTTCTCTCTCTTGCTCTCTTTCTCTCTCTCTTTCTCTCTTTCTTTCTCTTTCTCTTTTTCTCTCTCTCTCTCTCTTTCTCTCTTGCTCTTTCTCTCTCTCTTGCTCTCTTGCTCTTTTTCTTTCTCTTTCTCTTTGTCTCTATTTCTGTTTCTTTTTCTCTCTCTTTCTCTTTCTCTCTTTTTTCTTTTTCTCTCTTTCTAATTCTTTCTCTTTCTCTCGCTCTCTTTTTTTCTTTCTCTCTTTCTCTTTCTCTTTTTCTCTCTCACTCTTTCTCTCTTGCTCTTTTTTCTCTTTCTCTCTTTCTCTTTTGCTCTTTCTCTTTCTTTCTCTTGCTCTTTCTCTATTTCTATTTCTTTTTCTCTCTCTTTTTCTCTTTCTCTTTCTCTCTCA